GTACTTCTCCAGAGATCAGCCTCTCGTGATAACAGGTGCAAGTAAGATGAAATCTTGCTAGCCTCACCTCTAAGGAGCATTCTGGCTGTACTTCTATCAAGATAGTTTTGTTAATTCTCCTAGCAATCCTGCATATATCCAATGTTCTTTGCTCATGCCATAATTCAAATGGGTTTATTCTTTGGTCTTCCTTTGTTTCCAGGGTCACTGATTATGGATCTAAGTAAAAGGAAATACTTGGCACCTACAATCTTTTCTATGTTTATTATGATACAGTTTGTTGTTACAAGGCAAGAGAGGAAGAGAACATGTTGTATGATCACACTTATGAAATAACAAGGCTAGATAGTGTATAGGCACAGGTTCATTAGTAGTTTCCAAGGGTTGGTAGAGAGGGGAGAAGGGAGAGCCATTGTTTAGGGAGCACCGAGCTTCCATATACAGGAATGGGAAAATTTGGAAATAGATAAATGGCGGTGGTTGAACATCCTAAAATTAACTGATGCCATTGAATTGTAGTTGTGAAGAAGATTGATATGGCATATAATTTATTTATTAAATTAACAGTAAAAAGGAAAAAAAACCCAGAGGCATAACAGAAATCTGTAAATTCCACCCTGTTTGAGATTTCACATCTCAGGGAGTGGCGCACACTATTGCAGTAGCCAGAAGTGCAGGTGTCATTGAGTCATTTGCCCTGTCACCTTTCATAGTCAATTAAGCACCAAGCCTTGTTGCTTTTACCTCCTGAATTAGCCTGTCTCTTTCTACTTCTGCTTCTAAACTTCACCATCTCTTTCTGGGTTAATGCAATTGCTCCCTAAGTGGACTCTCTGCTTTTAATCTTGTTATGCTTGACTTCTCTTATGATGCTCTATTCAGAAATTTCCAGACTAAAAATCTTGTCTTGCCACTTGCCTGCTTAAAGATTCTTTAAAAAAATTGTTCTCATGGTAAAGACCTAAACTTAAAATGACCTAGAACAGTGCCTGCCATAGAGTTGTTATTGAATAATTTAATAAATATTCTTAGAAGAATAAATATCTACGTAATTTACAGTGTTTGCTGTTAAAAAAGTATTGCTCTACATAGGCATCAACGTATGTGTCCTTTGCTCTAGTTAATATGTCTATTTGAGATATGTTAAAAGTAGAATTGCTGGTATAGCTTGGCTTTCAACTATTAACATAAAAGGAAATAGAGTAGTTTGTGTACCCTGTTTCCCCGAAAATAAGACCTACTTACAGTTTTGCCTCTCACTGAAATATAAGACATCCCCCCAAAATAAGACCTCCCTGAAAATAAGGCCCCCCGAAGCTACCGTAACTCTGGACCGTAGCAGCGGGCACCGCCGCATAGCTCACTGTCGGCCACAGCGCAGCTGGAGCAGACAGGAAATGCGATGTCTCTTTTAATAAAACAATTAAACAATAAACAATAAATGTGTACCATATTCTTCTTCATGGAAAAATAAGACATCCTCTGAAAATAAGAGCTAGTGCTTCTTTGGGAGCAAAAATTAATATAAGACACTGTTGTTTTCGGGGAAACAGGGTAGTACCTTGATGCTATCAGAGGAAAAAATTCACTTGTCTGATCTAGAGAGATCAGTGATGATTTTTTAAGGGATCTGCCATGGATCTTCTGTCTGATGAAAGGGTGTTGTATTTCAAAGGATCACCCAGTGCCTTCACTCTTCCAGATTTTTCTGCCAAACAACTTAGGTGAAATATTTTGTAAGACAGAGCAAAGAGTCAAAGAGTTAAAGCTTTAAGTTCATAACAAATATGATTTCTTTCTTTAGGTCACACAGACATTTGTTTTGTTTATCTACTCATCTTATATATCTTATATGTGGGAACTACGTGGTCTAAACAAAGGACTGATTTGAAATGGGTGATCACATGAAAGGGTCAAATGACAATGACGTTGGTACAGGTATCCCTTGCTTTTTGAAAGTTTGTTTTGTTCCAATTCACATTTATGAAAGGCCCGCAGCCATGCTGTTTTCCCCAAGTGAAAGAAATCCAAAGAGAGTTTTCGATTTTACAGAAAAAGAGTTGAAAAGCCAAACTAGCAATCAGTATTTGTTATACAGTGAACCTTTAAAGAGGCAGTATTTTTTGGGTCTATAGACCCAAACATTGGGGAGCTATAACATTGGGGAGCTATGCACCCCTTAGGACAATCAACCATATGAGACCAAATGGATAACATTCACCCAGGAATAAAACTCCCAAGGCAGGGATAGGCACGGAAGGCCAATAGAAATAGCAAACACAGGGAAGGCGTGGATGGAGGACTGTTGCATGTGGCGATAGCCATCAGTCTCACAAAGCAAATTGAGTATGAACCGTGAATGGAAAATAAATTTGTTCTGTAAACTCTCACCCAAATTACAATAAAAAACCCTAAAACCTTTTCCCACCACATAAGTTCATGATAATTGCTTCTTTGCCTCGTACCATTTCAGCATACATGTATGCAAGCTTTGATAGGAATGGTCTGCTTTCTGAGTGAGAGAGACCTGTTTTTTTAAGTCTGTGACTTGGTACTGCCTTGCAGCAGTGGGTTTGGTGTATTTAGTTTTATATACCCACCCCCCATTGTCATCAAGTCAATTCTGACTCATAGCGCCCCTTTAAGACAGAGTGAAATTGCTCCACAGGGTTTCCAACACTGGAAATATTTTCAGGAGCAAACAGCCTCATCTTTATAACTTGGAGCAGCTGGTGGGTTTGAACTGTGGACACTGCAGTTATATAATATAACGAGCTATAGACATGTCTATGTTGAATACATTAGAATGGATTTATATACACCACTTATTTGTCAGTTTGTCATACTGTGGTGGCTTGTGTCTTGCTGTGATGCTGGAAGCTCTGTCATGGATATTTCAAATACCAGCAGGGTCATCCTTGGCAAACAAGCTTCAGAGGAGAAGTAACTGGTTAGACCACTTCTGAAACAATAGCAACTAGAAACGTTATCAGTAGCTATAGTGCCTGAGACAGTGCTGGAGGTTAGAAACCACTGAAAATACGATTAGGAAAGGGGTGCCTCCTCAAAGTCAAGTCAGTCTCAATGACATGAATGGAGCAAGTGGCCATTTGCTGATGGGCATAACTTAAAGTGAAAAGAAACAGCTGTAAACATCCATTAATAATCCGGACATAGAATGATTAAATGTGAATCTTGGAAAATTGCAAGTTATCAGAAATGAAATGGAATGCATCAGGATCAATATCTTAGGCATTAGTGAGCTTAAATGTACTAATATTGGTCATTTTGAACTCAATAATCAAATGCTTTACTATACTGGGAATAAGAAATTGAAACAAAATGGTGTCATATTCATTTTCAAAAAGGAAATTTAAGATCTATCAAGACGTGCAATACTGTCTGTAATAGGATAACATCTATAGGCCTAAAAGGGCAATCAGTTAATACAATTATTATTCAAATTTATCCACCAAACACTAAAGCCAATGATGAATTCTATCACCTGTTTCACTTTGAAGTTAATTAAACATGCAAGAAAGATGTATTGTTAATTACAAGTGATTGGAGTATGAAAGTTGGAAATTGAGGAAAGATTTCTCAAAAATTCAAACTCACTGCCGTTCAGTCAATTCTGACTTATGGAGATCTTACAGGCCAGGGTCGAACTGTGGGTTTTCGAGCCTGTACTTCTGTGTGGGAGGAGAAAGCCCTGTCTTTCTCCCACAGAACAGCTGGTGGTTTAGAACTGCTGGGTTTGCAGTTCGCAACCCAATTTGTAACCACTACACCACCAGGGCTCCTTACAGGCAAGATCAGTGGTGGAGAATGTGGGCGTGGTGATAGAAACCCACCTGCAGATTTCATGCTAGAATCTGGCAAAACACAGCCTTGCTTGCTGAAAGGGAAGAGGACTGATGAAGATCAAAGACTATTGACTTTAGTATGGATTATACCTTATGCAAAGAAAACAAAAATCATATAGATATATGTACATATATATGCAAAACAAAACCTTTACAATGTCAACATTGTTCACATGTGCAATTCAGGGACATTAATTGTGCTTATCATGTGTTGTATAATCATCATCATTATGTCTTTCTAGATTTTTTTACCACTTTGCTTTCCCCATTTGAAAATGAGACTAACCATAATTCTTTTATTAATTAGTAATTTATTCATCATCTGAGTTGATACTGAAACACAGCATTTCTGAATGAATCATAAATATGCATATCAGAAAAACAAAAACATGTAAAAAAGTTTGTAGAAAAATCCCATTATCTTTAAAATCCCATTATTTAAAAATCCCATTCCCCCTTCTTACAACTGGTTCAAGCCCCCTTGTGTACAAGGGCATTTACTGATGGTCATGGCCTTAGAAACCCTTCTGTGGTGGCACAGTGCCCCGCTGGGGGCTCTCAGAGCGTGGATAGGAGCGTGGCGTTCAGAAAGAGTATGCTTCTGGAAACATCCGCACCCTCAGAGCAGCGAGCTGCAGGGCTTTCATCTGACGTTCGTCATGCATTTCTGTTGTGTTCTGTCCCCAGCTAGTCTATTTTTGTTCAGACTGACTGTGTAGATTGAACAGCTTTGTATTTATTCCCATCCTTCTATTAAATTTGCCTCAGCTCCTTGGAGGCTGTTTAAGCAAAACAAGGATTTAATTACTCTGTTTGTCGTTTCTTCTTGTTCTAGGCAGTGGGCCACATCATGACCGTTGCTGTATTTATAATGAAAACAACTTGGTGGATGGCGTTTATTGTCTTCCGATTGGACACTGGATTGAGGCCACTGGGCACACCAATGAAATGAAGCACACCACAGACTTCTATTTTAATATTGCGGGTCACCAAGCCATGCATTATTCCAGGTAAAAATAGTACCATGTTTATAAGCATAGAGGCAGTACTAGGTCATGGAAATATTTCACGGAGCTCTGGTGGCATAGTGGTTACGAGCTGGGCTCTTAATCTCAAGGTCTGGAGTTTGAAACCATCAGCTGCTCCTCAAGAGAAAGCCGGAGCTTTCTATTCCTGTAAAGAGTTATAGTCTTTGGTCAAAACTGTCACGTTTCCTCTGGGACTGTTTTGTAGGCTTTCAGACCATTGAGAAGACAGAAGTGAAGTAGGTGTGGACGTTTCTGGTTCTAGTTGGGTTTATAGATAAAAAACCAGAACCAAACCCACTGGCATGGAGTTGATGCTGGCACACTGATACCTTTCAGAATCAGGAGTGGGAAGCCTTTTTCTCTATCTGGGGCCACTTGGGTATTCATAATATCACTTGTGTGGCATCTTGGTCAAACATTTAGTGAATTCACCCTAATGTGATGGCTGGCAATGCTTCTCTTTGGTGAGGCATGTAATGTTAGCTGGTATTGGTGATTTCTTGGGTAATGCCTGAGAACTGGACCTTCTCCACCCCTGCTAGAGATAGTAGTAGTAGTAATAACTTGGCTTTGGCATATTTTGACTGTAGTTCACCAATCTTTTACTTATCTATAAAACCAAACTCATAGCCATAAAGTAGATTCCAACTTATAGACCCTATAGAGCAGCGGTTTGCAACCTGTGGGTTGTGACCCCTTGGAGAGTCGAACGACCCTTTCACAGGGTCGCCCCATTCATAACAGTAGCAAAATGACAGTGATGAAGTAGCAATGAAAATGATTTTATGGTTGGGGGTCACCACAACATGAGGAACTGTATGAAAGGGTCGTGGCATTAGGAAGGTTGAGAACCACTGCTCTAGAGCTTTAAGGAACCCTGTGGGATAGATGTAACATGTTGGGCTATGAACCAAAAGGTCATCAGTTTGAATCCAGCAGCCCTCTTCATGGGAGAAAGATGGGGCTATCTATACCTGTAAAAAGTTACGGTCTCAGAAACCGACAGGGACGATTCTACCCTGTCCTATAGGGTCACTGTGAGTCAACATCGACTGGATGGCAATGAGCTAAGGCTTCAGAGGCTGTAAATATTTCCAAGATGGCCTCAACTTTCTCCCATGGAGCAGCTGGTAGGTTTGAACCACTGAACGAGTTTACCAGTCCAGTGCTTGCCCAATAGTGCTCACTACACTGGCTCTAATTTCCACTTATCAGAAGTAATTATTTTCAAGCATTTTATGATTAGGGAAATTACCCAAGTTTAGATAATACCTATATATGTTATTTGTTGTCTATATATGTATGTATATATAACATGGAGTGGGCTGGGAGATTTGAACTGCTGACCTTTCAGATGACAGCGCAACACATTACCACTACCCCACCAGGCCTCCCTGAAGCTCGACAGGATCCATGCAAGTAGCAATCTACTTGTTATTTGTTCCACCACTGGTCTGTCAGTTTGTTGTACTGTGGTGGCTTGTGTGTTGCTGTGATGCTGGACGCTATCTCACTGGTATTTCAAATGCCAGCAGGGTCACCCAATGTGAACAGGTTTCAGCTGAGCTTCTAGGCTACAAAGGGACAATGGAGAAGGGGTCGGCTCCCCACTTCCGAAGCTGCTGAAAACTATGCATAGTTTCAAAGCATTTTCCAACACTGGAACCCTACACAAAAGCAGCAGAACATAGTTGGAGGTACTGCTGGCAGATGGCACTCAAAATGGTTTGTTGGAGGGGAGTCGACCATGGAGAAGTGCATGGGGTAGAACTTGTGGGTGTGGAGCCTTCAGGATCTTCATTTGCTGATGGGGCACGACTCCAGGTAAAGAGACACAGTTGCAAAAATCTTCTAGTTATTAGAAAACAGAATGTTCAAAGTATGAATTTAAGGAAATGGGAAGTGGTAAAAAATTAAATGGAACACATGAGATCAATATTCTAGGTGTTAGTGAGCTGAAATGGACTAATATTGGCCATTTTGAATCAGAAAAATATGATTGACTATTCCTGGAATAGTAATATACTGTTCTGGGCATAACATAATCCAGAGGACTGGCATGGCAACTTCATTGGCAGAGGGATCTTGCTAAATCCACCATGAAGTACAGTGTTACCTGTGATCGGATTAGAACAATCCACCTTCAAGGAAATCCAATCAATGCAGCTATCATTCAACTTTAGGTACCAACCACAAAAGCTAGTGATGAAGAAATTGTAGAATTCTACCAAATTCAGCCAGAAATTGATCAAACATGCAATCAAGATACATGGATAATTATTGTTGATTGGAATACAAAGGTTGGTAAGAAACAAAGAGGAAGAAACAGTAATTGGAAAGTATGGACGTTGTGATAGAAATGGGAGATTGCATGATAGAATTTTGCAAAACGAACCACTTGTTCACAGCAAAATACCTTTTTTCAACAACCCCAAAGGCTTTTTGTTTTCATCAATCCACATGCACTTCCCCAGATGCAATACACAGAAATCTGATTGACTCCGTATTTGGGAAGACACGACGGAGAAGCGCAATATTAACAGCCCAACGTGTAACTAAGCTGCCACTCGGGTTCCTTCTCTACTTGCCACGAAAAACACAAAACCCACTGCCATAGAATCATCGCTGACTCAGGAACCCCTGTGGGTTCCGAGACTGTAACTGTTTGAGTAGAAAACCCAGTCTTTCTCTCGTGCAGCTGCTGGTGATTTTAAAATGCCGACCATTGAGATCGCAGCCCAACGCATAACCACTCCAGCACCAGGATTCCATATAATTGCTATAGCCTTTTTATATTACGGGATGTGTATGCATGATGTTGAAATAATTTGAGACTTTATCTTAGCTGCTGGAATAAACACATAAAAAGTTGAGCATATGCAATGATAGAGGTATTCAAGCCCACACAAGAATTTACAACCACAACCAATTATCCTTTAGTTTGAATGGGGGAAGGGAATTGTATCCAGAATTCTTTTATTCATGGGATGAATTGTATTAGAATTGAATTGATTGACAGCATCTTTCCTTCCCATTCTCCCCGCTTTCTTTCTAGAACTATTATTCTGATATATTCAGGTCTTAACTACTATTATTCTGATATATTCAGGTCTTAACTACTATTATTCTGATGTATTTAGCCCAAGTCTTTCATTTTCTTGTCTTTATCGTTAGGCATATATTTGTCTTTCATTTTGATATTTTTTCAAAGATATTTTCTCAGCGTCATCATCCAACACTGCTATTTAGTTTTTCTTTTTCATTTCTGCTCTCATTCTTTCATGTCTAGGAGCTCGTCACTTCATTTGGAGAGTGTATATTTTGATAGCATTCTTTTTGTGTATTGCAAAAATCATTATGTCCAGGAGGACATCACATTTATTTTTTTAAACTTCTTTTCTTGGCATTGTTTGTTTGCCTCCAAATCGATTAGACAGTTTCCTATTCTCTGTGTTGGGCTCCTGCTCTCGTATTAGAAGCTCCTTCAGATGCCCGGAGAGTGTTGTGTTTAGGTGCTGCCAGGTTGGTTCTGGCTCGGGGCGATCCTGGTCCAGCAGAACGAACACTGCGCCGTCCTGCGCCGTCCTCACTGCTTGTACAGCCACGGTGTCAGGCCATCTCATGGAGAGCCTTCCTCTTTTCCCTAGCCCCCCCTTTTTCCCAAGCACGATGTCCTTCTTTAGGGATCGGTCTCTCCTAAGCACATGTTCAAAATAAGTGAGACAAAGTCTCTTCATCCTTGCCTTTAGGGAGCATATCGACTATATTTCTTTCAACACGGATCTGTGTAATTTTTTGACAGTCCATGGTACGTTCAATTTTTTTTTTTTGCCAACACCATAATTCAAATGCATTTTCCCCTTTGGTCTTTCTAATTCAATGTGCAACTTTCACAGGCATATGAGGCAACTGAAAATGCCATAGCCTGGATCAGGTTGCCTTTCGTCCTCAATGTCCATAACATTCTTGTTTTGCAACACTTTAAAGAAGTCTTGGGCAGCAGATTTACCCAACGTCATGCACAGTGTGATCTCTCGACAGTGCCTCCCATGAACATCGATTGTGGATCTAAGCCAGATGACGTCCGTGAAAGCTTCAAATTTTCATCCATTTAGCATGATGTTATCTACTGGTCCGGTTGTGAGCATTTTGGTTTTCTCTATATTGAGTCGTCATCCATAATGACGGCTGCGATCCTTACGTCTTCATCGGCAAGTGCTTCATGTCCTCCTCACTTTGGGCAATCATCTGCACATCTCAGTTTGTTAAGAAGCCTTCCTCCCCTCCTGATACAGCATTCATTCGTCTTCGATAATCTAGCTTCTCTGCTGATTTGCTCAGCATACAGGCTGAATCAGCATAGTGACAGGATAGAACACCGATGCACACTTTTTCTGATTCGTAACAATCCATTGTTCCCTTGTTCTGTTTGCACAATTGTCTCTTGATCCATGTAAAAGTTCCACGGGAGCACAGTGAAGTGTTCTGGAATTCTCATTCTTCTCAAGGCCTCCATAGTTTGTTACGATCCACCTATGAGTCAAATGCCTTTGCACAATCAAAACACAAGTAAACATCTTTCTGCTATTTTATGCTTTGAGGTAAGATCTATCTGACATCACCAATGATATCCCTTGTTCCAGCCTCTTTTGAATTCAGCCTCAATCTCTGGAAGTTCCCTGTCAATGTACTGCTGCAGCCATTGTTGGGTGATCTTCAACAAAATTTAACTTAATGTGTGATAACAATGATACCAATTCTATAATTTCAGCATTCTGTTGGGTCACCCTGTGGGGTGATCTGATTTCCTAATTCAGATGGAAACCTCTGGTGTCAATATCTTTAGATGTTCCTGGTTCCCTAGACAAGATTCATTCAATCTTTTGCTTGGAGGATGCCGCAGTGGCTGCCAGTGCTCTGTTTGCACCATGAGTATTGCCGGGTGGGGTGGGAATCTCAGCCTTCAATGAGCATAACACATT